AAGAATGAAACGACAGGAATTATTATTTTTATTATTTCTTAATATTTATTAGGGTTTATTAATTCTGTATCGCACCGCGGTTGAAAGAATAGATTTAACCCAAATTCAAATTCGCGCGTCTATAAATATTGTTTAACAAAAAGCGGTCCGTTCGCGTCGGGTGTCGCGACGATGGCGGAATATCGTCGATTAACGCCGGTAAGAAAAAAAAAAAAAATAAATGACCGGTGAATAATGCGGGGCAAAAGATAGAGGCGACTGGAATTTGGGAACAGAGCGGGGTGGGGACCTGGGAATAATATTTAAAAATAGAGACGACGAGGCACAGACGATGCGAAGGAAATAATAATAATAATCTCCGAAATTAAGCCGAGCCTCGAGACACAGGAAAGTTCGCTAGCTGGCAAATTCGAAATGTTTCGCAACAGGTGTTGCGGAAATTTGGTACGTCCGCGGCTGAAACTTAAGCCGTGCAATCGTGTAACACGGGGAAACACTTGTTGCCAACAAGTTTGAAATTTACCGCGCCCTACGCGGAAAAATGTTCCGCGAACAGTTGCGCTCGTTTTTCAGACGTTCGTCGGTTGTTGAGAGACACTACCGTACTCTCTCAGGAATTTTTCATAAAACGTCCTCGCGATTACAAATGCAATAAAGTTCAACAATAATTAATACGAAACACAAGATAGCGCGCTAAGATTTTCAAATTCGATTCCAAATTGATTATGAGATAATATTTAAGAAACGTATGCTAGGTTCAACCATGGATAGTAGTTGAAACAAAGTGAAAAGCCAGTGATACAACTGATTCGCTTAAATCCGAAACGACGCCGAAAAGAGCGTTCCGGTTCGTTCACCTTGCGTGCGCGTTGCCACGTAAATGTAACAACAGATTTAAGGACAAAAACGTTTGTTTCGAAGTCGATTTCTCCGCGTCGACGATTCGGTCGTTAATTGTGGAACGATTCCCCGGGGATCTGGTACATTGTAGAGATTCACAATGAAACGCTTCCGCGCGCCGAAAACCGTGTTGCCTTTCCCACAAGAATCGGTCGCGCATAAAAAGCGAACGACCAAATAATTACTGGCCGTCCATTCCGACTGTAACACTCGGAAGGAGAACACGCGAAGTGTTACGCTCGGATCTTAATTAAACTCCGTGGATAATTACGGAACCAAAAAGTCTACGTTCTGACCCTATGGATACGACTACCTCTATACAAAAGACATTTTGGTTCACGTTACAATACGGTATATTAACAAACGAAATTGCATGTAATCGATTCTGAGATATTTGGCAGCTCTATTAATAAAGCCATAAATAATTGAAATCAGAGCGCAACGTTTCACGTGATCTTGATAGCAATAAAATCAATCGCATCGTAGACCTGCTCGTCCGTTCATTATTATCTATAGCAATCACTTTCTCTCTCGTTACCGTGACTTTCGTCCGTGTCGTTTTTGCCAGAACGTTAGATCACGTTTCCTCAAAGCAACCATCGAGCCTCGTGACCCTATTCGCTGCTGCCCGACCATAATCGCGCCTCCAGTTCGACAGAATCGCCCGCAGTAACCAGCCTAACGACGCCCAGAATATGTTTCGAAAGACGGTGAAAGATATTATTCATTAATCATCTAAGTGCCAATGGTGAATTGCTATCACCCACGCATTCGAACGGCTCTTGAGTTATTATTGGGATAATAAGCAGGACCGTGACAAGGCAGGTGCAAAAGGAGCGTGTGTGCCCTTGAGCACCACGTTAGAAAGATCACCTAAAATTTGAAACATTTAACCCCGGGATTCTGGACTGGGATACTCTTTGCTAACAAGACGCGATTAAAATAATCCGAAAATATCTTTAAAATATCCGAGGGTCGAATGAACTCACGAATGTTTATTAAATTAAATATACGATTTTTAGATACGACTGAAACTCACACGCGTCTAATTTAATTTTCTACCAGGAGGATTTCTATAGTAAATCTCGAAGGGAGAATTGCCTTTTAAAAATGTCTATCTGGATGGGAGTTCTGCCCGTTGCCACAGCCACGATGCAAAGTACAAAGGTTCGAAGCGTTCAGAAATGATCGCGAATGGAACAAGAGTTCTGCAAGACGGTCTCGATCAGAGCAAACGCCAAAAGGAAAACGTGGGAACACCGCTCGCGCGCGATAATTCGTTCCTTTATCTACGATTCGGAATTACGCAATGGACGGTTCGACTGTTGCGAGCTGCGACTCGGTCTCGTGAAAACGTTCCTACCGGAAGTGCGTACTTTAATTAAACGCTGTTTCCTGCCTGTCATTAACTCGACCGTTTACGGGGCAGAGCCGCGATTAGCGCGTCGTGTCGGCGGGCATTTTGGAACCGAGCATCGGCCACGATTTTCTCGTCGCTTCACGGAGATCCGCGGAGGACGTTCGGTTATCTGGACGATGTTTTATTTTTACACCGGGGAATTACGTTAGCCGGTCTTTACGATAGTTAGTGTACCGGGGAGATTTCTGGCAACGAAACGGCTGATGTTTCGCCAACCAAACTATTCATTCAAACCTGGCGCGCTATAGTCCTTTTCAATTATTTTGACCGGTCAGGGCTATCGAGGAACAACGATACGAATACACCTTTTCGTTATAATCGTATCCGTAGGTGATACTTTAACAAAATGTAGTCGCGATTTTAAACTTTCTATTGTGTTCGTAAGAACTTGCGTCCCGATGGTATACAATGTGGTATAAAAGTTTGGAGCACCCTTCGATCTTTAAGGGCGTCTTCTACTCCAGACTAGTGATTGTCCTTGAGAATCCCGTCTCGAGAATCCTCGAGATTTTTTAACAAATTTCCATCCCTGTATCCCGAGAAAACAATTTCCAAATATTTCGAGACTCCCGATGCCCCGGAGAAAACTCTTCGCAATCTCGGAAATTTCAAACAAATTATATTATACGCGCCCCTATATGAATTATATTCTTATATAAGAATTATATTCTAATATTCGTATAATTATATAATTATACGTAGATCAATCCCATGAAAACTGGTTGAGGATGATCTTCAATTATTGAATAAAAATGAGAGATCCTAGAGGCCAAAATAAGACGAAAATCAATACCAATTTGTTGATCGAGTTAAAAGTTATTAATAAAATTTGTCCACCTTCACGAATTTTTTTCTCGAAAGCATGTAGGATTTCGGGGGTACGTCTATTCACCAAAAATGTTTGTAACTGACCACCGCAACCAAAAATAATATTTTCAGAATGATTTGAAATTTTTTAATTTCTATGAAAAATTTTGCATTTAGAAATGTCGAAAAATGCAATATTTTGAATGTAACTTTTGTCTACGAATATGGAATCTGCTTACACGACAAATTTGTATCTTCCAAAAAGTTATTTAATCAGGAAAATACAAAATAAAATTAATGTTATTGAATCTTTATTAAACTTTTTATTTAAATATACATTATTTATAACTAAGGAAACTCGATTTCTTTTTTAATTTATTTATGTGTCCCTAATTTTTATTTAGATTTTAAGCATAGAATAATGTGGTGTCCGTAAGGGGAATGTGAACACTCGATGTCTGACTAAAAACGTCTGATCTAATACTACTAGCAATTCTTGTGGGATATCTCTGTCACTCTACATAATATTCGGTGTATAGGTTGCAGAAGTTAATTAAAGGAAATATACGTACTCCTTGATGAACATGAAAATCAGGAGAATGAAAGCTTCGGAGCACAAAATTACATCAACTTGAAGAAGGAATTGTGTCACAAAAATTCAAACGCAATAAATGAATGAATTTACCGTTGAACGTACCTTTCCAAATCATGAACGAGAATACAGTTTTTGTTTTATCGTTACCGATCGGTAAATGAAAACTGATATATTTAATGAAAACGAACATCTCGAATTGGATTTATTTACACTCGAGCGACGAGGACTGTAAATATCCATCCGGTAGCGTAGCTGAATTATTTTCTATTATTAAACACGTGGATATGTTACCTATCGCTATTTATATTCAGAATTGATCAATCGTGGCATGAATTACTGTCAACAGACAGTATTGCGACATTCACGATTCTGGATTTTCCACTGTCTGGAGTAGCGTGAACGCGTATCATTGCTCTCATACCTTTCCCTCCAATTACATCGAGCTAGCAGTCATCCTGTTCTTCTGACTTTATTTTCCACCGTGGATTTCTAGCTGCCCGCGATGTAATTCCTCGTCAGTAAAAAAAAAAAATGAAACTAAACCGTACTTGTAATTTTTGCTGGAAATTATTAAATTTCCTTTTATCGCATCGTTTGGAACTTTGTTTATACCGAACCAGTGTCTACGTTAAAGAATTTACGCGTTGCGGAACGAAGATTAAAATCTAGATAGGTATCCGTTGTAAAGCGTGTAAAGTTTATAGAAATGTACACTGTTATTAGGATGTTGGCTTAATTGTAAATATGAAAACATCGCATGCTCTATTGCATATAAATATATATTCCATTTCCTTCGAACGTAAATTATATCCCCGTACACGTGATAAGGGTAGTGTTCAATTTATACCAGCAGAGAATTTATTATCACGTAATTATCATCATAGACTGTGGAGTTTTGATATCTGTCAAATTATATTAAATACCATGCCAAACGAACGGATTAGAAATGTATAAATTCTAATCGCCAATGAAGGAAACGACACCTCGATCCAAAGTTACTAGCTACTTAGGCCTTATACGGAACGCTTAACCTATTAAGCTATTAACTAATTTGCACGTGGCATGCTGTGAAGATCTATTCTAATCGTCAATTTCTACGCACTACTTGAACATCATGTTAATTAGGAAGAGCATAACTTAAACGTTAATAAAGTAAATAGATGAGAGTCTGGTAGGCTCGATAATTAAGCGTTAGTGTACAATGCGATATGGTTATCCGTAACAGCGAGCAACAACGCTATTCGCCACTACGTTCCCATAAACAAAGTGATGACGTACCGGTAACAGTGGCTGTTCGGGTACCACGACGAGGCAGAACTTTTTTAAACACCTGTAACACTTCTCGAGGGAAGGGGGGGATGAATCGGTAGTCCCTTTCCACTTGTCCGGCATACGCACAATGTTTCAAATTCTCGTCGATTCCTTCGACGGATCACAGAATCACCGAATCCTTAACCATCGTCGACAACCTTGTGATTTATTTCCATTTCCCGTATCACTGGCTCCTTAATCTCTCTCTTAATCTAATTACTATATACCGGTTCTAGATAAAAATGTCATTAAACACGCGGGATACATGACGTGTGCAAAGAATATACCGTTTCCTGGCTATGGCAGTCTTTGATATCCGATAAGCAGCTGTTTGTCATAATACTGTCAGTGCCGATCGTTAACGCGACTATCGAAGTTAATCTACGAGTATCACTACGCGTTTGTTGCATAACATTAAGCACTGACTGTTTATCTTGGCGCGATTCGCGCAAAAACGAAAACGCCGACACTTTTTACACGAGTTACTACCGATCGTCCCCGCAACGGCAGCAATGTTTCAGAAAAGTAGTTCGCCGCTGGAACCACCCTCGCGATCGAGTCGGAGGGGGGGAGAAAAATCGGCAAGTTTTCCGATAGGGACGTTTTATTCACTTGTGCACTCCTATTTATAACACTCAAAGACACCAACTTTCTCTTTTGTCGATAGGCAGTGCGTCACGAAGACAGTTCCGCGACGTGGGTGCCTCGCGTTCAACGAATTGTCACCGTCAAGTTCGCCGAGGACCGATCACGAAGTTCCCTCGGTAATCCCGGTCGTTCCTCAACGCGGTTCCAGTAACTCGCTACGAAATCCATGGTAAAACTTTTCGCGACTCGGTTCGACGATAGTTTTATATTTAGAAGGGAAACGGTCGTCTAGAGGACTCTGTCCGAAAGGCGCGACGTCATACAGGGTAAAGGCATTGGCCTAGGTTAGGATCACCACGTGATGACTACGATGACGTAGATCGATACTCCTTCTCCCGTTCAGGGCCAAACGAAGCCGGCTCGCGGTCTCGTATAGCGTGTCCCGGGCTTAGGAAACTCTTCCCGTTCCGACACGATGATCGTAAAACGACTAATTTTGAATTTAACGCGCTGTAAACGACGCGTTGGTTCCGTGGGCTCGGCGGTCCGCGGCTCGTGCAACGTTCGATCGACGACCGGTCACGGCGATATTAATGTTTCCTACGCGGCTCGACGGTTTCTACGTGTACACAAATACCGGATCCGTTCTCGGATTTGTTGTGCCAGAAAAACACAAGTCCGTGTGTTGCTTCCGTTCTCACGAAACGTCGAGATTCCCCGAAGCGATCCGCGTTTCTGAGCTGATAGCCGGTGGCTCGAGCGACGTATCCAGCGATGGGCAGGGATGCTGCGCCGCTGGCGCGATAGAGCCTCGGCGGAATCCGGTACTCCAGGATACGGGGAAAAGGCGCGCGGATACCTTGGTTCGCGATACGGCGCTCGACTCACGTGGCGGTGTGGTCCGAACCCTCGTCGACGGTGACCACTTCCTCGAGGATTCGGCCAATCAGCGGCGAGCCAGGATACCCCGAGCGACGATCGTGGATTCCCGTCGCGGTTCGGCCGCGCTCGGCGGCGCTCTGTCTTCGTTTCGCTCACGCGTGCCGCGTGGTCAGACGACGCACGGTCCGTGACCACTTTTCGGACGCGTCTCGTCGCCGCGGGTCCGAGTTGACGCACAGCCGCGACCGAGCTTGCGACCAGGCTTTGGTGGACGTCCAGGACTAACCGTGGTCCCGGTGTACACCGCTTCCTGGTTTCCACGCGTGAAAACACGCGCTGCTTCGCATCGAGCGTGCGCCTCGTCCAGCGTCCGACACGATACTACCTCTCTCCCCTTCTTCTCTTTCTTTCTCGCTCTCCCTACGCCCCCTCCACGTACTCCGCTAGCTGTCTCCCTCTGGCCGCGATTTCTGCTCGAGTAGGGACGACGTGGGGAGTGACTGGTAGCCGCTCATTAAACAAATGCCGCGATGACGTCAGGAAGTATCGCGGGACCATCGAAAATTGCTCGGTCCCGGCCCGTCGACAGCTAGCGATACTTCGATACGCCCCGCGTCAGGATTCCCGTCTGCGGCCAACTTTCCGTCGCCATCCGTACACCGATAGATTCGCTGACATCGCTCGAGTCGCGTCCCGCGAACCGTCCATCGCACGTTTCGTGCATCCGGTGATCGCTTAATTGGAATGTTTTGCGCCGATCCATCGACGCGTATTTTTAGAGCACTCCGCGTCGCTGAACTCTCCTTTCAACCATTTTACATCAATCGATTTTTATCATCGAAAATTTAGACACTGTTTTGAATTGTTTAGAATTGCCTCAAGGAAACCTCCATAGGTACAGTGATTTAGCCACCAATTCTCCAAGGGAAATTTGGGGTTCCCTAATTTTGCAAAAAGCATTCCAAATCCTTTGTATCAAATTTTTTAGAATACTTCAACTTTGAGGAAACGAATGGAGTTTACAACAATTCTGTTCACGATTTTTACGAACAGAACGTTAAACGTTCGAGTCTCGTCTTCGATCCTGTTTCTAGTTGACGGAGTTATAATTTTCTTTCGCGGCGTTATTAAGCATTAGTGTTACACACAGTGCACCTCGATGAGGTTGCACGGGTCGAACTTATGCCTTGTCGCGAACCCATATTGTTCGCGTGTAGAATGCAGCTAATAGAAATATGACCATTTGTCTTCTTTTGTTCCTTAATGTTATTTTTATTATAAATATTCTATTCAAACTATTGGAATATTTAACCGACTCGTTAGATGATCGCCTAACAAACATAATATTCTTACTAAAAAAACATAATGCTGCGTCAACGGATCTTTGTACGTGAGAATGCGTATTACATAGTCAATTAACGAGCCGTTAATAAAGCGCGCGTAAAAACACATTCGACTCTTCTGGTATCGTTCGTACGCTGAAACCGACTTCTTTAACTCGTAAGTAATTGCGGTGGCTGCGCAATCAACGTTTACTATCCCCGATTTGTGCTCGAGTCGAAAGAGCACGGAGTGGCTGGTAGCGTTCATTAAACAAACGCCTCGATGACGTCAGAAATAACCAGGCTCCCCCATGAAAAGTACACGCGTAATTTACGCCTAGGAATACATTATCGACTCCACGAGGTGTTTAATTCGAAAAGAGGAAAATCGTCGATCCTGGCGGCGGTGTCGCGGTTACGATCGTGGTATCGCGAAAGGGAGAAAACACGAAGGGACGAGCAATTTGGCACGCGCGAAAATTCAATTCTAATTCGTCGAGGGATTTAATGCGAGCGACGATTCCGCGCAAAAGACGAATAGCCGGGCAGACGTGACCGTGGGTGGTCTGTTCGGAACATCCGTAGCTACTTGGAAATGGATTTCGTCGCGTCTACTACGTCCACTGCTATTTAAAGATGAAGCATACGACGTTCGCGGTCCCTTCTTTTTTCTTCGTCCGTTGCCACCCATCGCGCCCTCTTTCTCTTGCCTAGCACGTGACTCGTGAGTGGAAAACGCCGTGAGTGCAAAGACACCTTTCACGCGATACCATCGTAATAATCGCCGGGGCGAAAGGTCTCGGCACCTAAGACGCGGTTTCGTCTGGCTGTTTTGTAACGAGAGTTATAATAACGGAGCGCAATTATTCGAAACAAGTCGCCGAGGGTTCGAACAAACGCGGCAATACCGAGTGAACGGCGCCCGTGGCCTTAGGATTTTCGCTTTACCAATTATTCGTCGCTCGTTCACCGCGCGAAACACTCCCGGCTCGTGTCAATCCGAGGGATCTGTCTAATCTGTCACCTACAACATACTGATTTTCTCTTAACAATGTCATATTGACAGAATTGCGGTGAAATCTGGAAAAATAACAATGCCATAGGAGCCTCGCTCGAACTTTCTATACGTATACTCCGACATTGTGTAACAAAGTTTAAAGATCGATACATTTGTTTGACATTCTCTAAAAATATCGTCTTGAGAACGTTATGCATCGAAGATCGGCGAAACTCGAAAAATTGACGACATTGTAGGACAGCGTAGTTTTTGTACGCCATAATTTTAAATCGTGTCTCTCGAAATGACATTTTTCACATTAGCTGCCACGATATCTCGGGAACCAAAAGACCGAGTGACTTGAAATTTGACGCAGATATAAAGTAAGCGCCTCTCTGTCGTTCGAACTAAAATAAACTTGTCATCTGTAAATGTTTTGTTCTTTACAGCTCGACGAGACAACAAAATCTGTAAATCTTTCGATTCTCGATGTTTCTTATTTCTTTTAATAAACGTGACAGTTACATTCGTGATATATATCGATTTTTAGTTCCAAGAATAAGAGTTGTTAAATGGAAGTCCTTCTGTAAACTGAAGACGAGACTGGAAGTTTGAAATTGATACGTCTAGTAGTTCCCTCGAAAGAAAATCTAAAATATCAGCCAATTTGTAGGGTTTTAAACTAGACAGACCCCTTAACGACTCTTCTTTGATTGTCGTGTAAATTTCAGAACCGAAATTAAAACGTCAAAGGCTCGCCCTCTTTCCAACGATCTAACCGTTGCAGAATCGGTTTGATGGCCGTCGTAACTATTGGAGCGCCAAAGAAAAAAGCTCAAGGCGAGAAAATGCTTTGAATAATTTATATCGAACGATGGGTTGTCCAGTGTTTCACAACCCCTGATAAAAAAATTTTCGACCAAATAAATTTGCTCGATATTTGAAAAATTATAAACCGAATACGACTGATAGGAAAATAAAATCAGGCGCTGTTTGAAATTTCCTCGATGGGCAAGAATTACGAACCGGAAAGCTGTGCCCGGGCGATACAACATCGCACCCAAGATCGTTCGTTTTATTGTCGATCTAATGCACGAGTTATTACGATTCCCGTTTTCCAATCCACGACGCCCGACCGTGTAATTATTTGAAATAATTGGACAGCCGGGCGAAAACGAGCAGACAAAAGTCTGTTAATTTATTAAAGTCGAAGCGCGA